TGTTTTCAATTTAGAACGGAAGAACTGCATTTGAATCTATTTATTAGCTACAAATCCTATTTGGACTAATTTTGTGTTTTTATGAACTAATCATTTCTCAATACTTCCAAAATTATAGTTTTTTTATAAATTAATATTATGCGTTGATAAGTAAAATGACCACGTACACTTTTTAAGGTCTTAAATGGCCAATATCTTATTAAATAATTATTTTCATTTTATATAATGAAAAAGTGTTAAATATAAATGTAAAATAAGTTTAGTAATAGTTTTGACATTTAATTATTTTAATCAAAATGGACTTGCACACGTCTTAAGTTCATCTTAGTTTCTCAAATTAAAATTACAGTAGGTACCCACATTGAATGTTTGAAAATTATCAGTTTGCTCAGTTAAATTGTATACCTAGTTTTTTTCCGGTTTTAGGCATCATAGAAACATAAGTGTTATATTTACAATTATAAAATATGCTTTAAAATCACGTTATTTTTTTCATATTTCGATGGTGGACAAGTAAAATAAAACATAGCTAATGAAAAATGTTGTGTTGAATTATATACTTGTTAAACTACAAAACCATAAACTAATAGTACGCTATCTGCCCAATGCTGCTTTTTGTTCTTCTTGACTATAGTCGCAGCCATTTTAACCAAACTATTTTGTGTGTCACAGTCATATCTCTGGCATTACATTACTCGGCGTCCCGTCTGAAGTATACGTTTACGGCACTCAATACCTGGTTATAGGTTTCATAAACGTTTTCATCATCATCATTGTGATCTATATATATTTGCCGGTATTTTATGACCTCCAGCTGACGTCCGTGTACGAAGTAAGAGAATGAAAAAGTTTTTTTTGACAATGTACTCGTGTAACGTTCAAACGCTAACGTTTATGTACATTTCGTAGTACTTGGAATTGCGGTTCAACAGCACCATTCGGGGAATATGTTCGCTGATATATGCCATATCGTTGATCTTGTACATACCAGTAGTAATATATATACCAGCCCTGGCGTTCAATCAAGGTATGTTAACATTGAAAAATTGTGTACAACGATTTGATGGCTTTACAACAAACTGGCAAAGAGTTATGTAAATAAGTGTTGGACAGTTAACATGAAAAATAGAAATGGTTTATATGAAAATGTCGAGATGGACGTGTGGAGTAAGTTAGATAAAACTAGACACGAATAGGGCATTTAGGGATGCGTGACAAAAGCAGGAACAATAATTGTATTTTTGTAATGCGGTTAAGATAGTATTGGCACGTCGAAAGAAGAGAACACCTACAAAAATAATACAACTGTTAAGAAAGTTTAATGTAGAGATAATAATGATTGGAGAAAAGAAGTAGGAGGAATGTGGACGTCATGCGGAGATTTATGGAAAGAAAAAACAAATGGTAACGGAAGAGTCTGTTCTTCTCTTATGTGAATATTAATTGTTTTGTTTCAGTAAGTGGTCTAAACGTGCACGCTATAACTCCGATCATATGCGTTGTGTGTATATTCTATACAACAGTGGTAAGTATTGTGTTAAACGGAACCATATATACAGATTTAGAAACAATTTTTCAGTAGTATAATATAATTTCTAGGGAGGCTTAAAAGCTGTGGTGTGGACAGATGCGTTGCAGAGTGTTTTCACGACGGTTTCTGTGATTGCGGTAATTGTGTTGGGGTTCATCAATATCGGTGGTTTCGGAAACATGATAAAAGCCAACGCCGATGGAGATAGATTAGAACTGTTCAAGTATGTTGTACTTATGTCGACGGACGCAAGCTGTTATCCCAAACTCCATTTCCTTTTTTATTATTCAACATTTTCTTAGGAAACATGACTCTTCTCCAATTACATATAAATGGCAAATACTTATTATGGAAAATGTTTGAAAATTCTTCGTAATAATACTCATTTATTTATTTAATTATTTATTAACGATTCACAGCCATTAATTTTATCTGACATAAACTGTCATTTGAGTACAGAACCATTTTATACAAAACATCGAAATCTTTAAAAAATAAACTCTTCTGTTTTAAATTTAATTACCTTTCAACCACTCGATAGCCGAACAGAGACAATGCTTCATCTCGTAGCAATAACTAGTTGCTCTAATTGCATTGTAAGTAAAAGACCTAATGGAAACTTGTAGGATGGACGTGGACCCGTTTTTGAGAAATACATTTTGGACCGTCAGCGTCGGCACCACTTTTAGCTGGATCACCGGCTTAGGAATACATCCAGGAGCAGTGCAGAGGTTCGTGGCATTGCCATCGTACAACAAGGCCAGAAAGTCGTTGATATACTTCATTTTCGGCATGGGAGTGGTGAAAATTTTCACTGGCTTAATCGGAATGCAAATATATGCCAAGTATAAAGACTGCGATCCCGTAAGGGCCAAAGTGAGTGATTCAGAGCTGGTCTGACTGCTCTTAGTAATTTGCGTTGAATCAAGCGAGTTGATTCGTTTTTTAGTTTATTCAAAACGACAGAAATCTGTTGCCGTACTTCGTGATGGACGTCGCGTCTAAAATTCCTGGACTCACTGGTCTTTTCATCTCTGGAATAGTTAGCGCGGCTCTAAGGTTTGTCTAATTCTTTCTAAATCGAAATAACCGCTTCCCCGCATCTAACGTCCTTAAACACTCCTTTCCGATACAGCACAATGTCGGCACAACTCAACACGGTCTCCGGCACGATTTACGAAGACTTTGTTGTAAAAATGTTGGGTTTTAAAGTAACTCAGTTGACGGCCAGTGTCATCATGAAATCCACTGTAGTAATTGTGGGTGTCGTTTGCGTGGCTCTAGTGATAGTAGTTGAAAAACTCAGCGGAATCCTCCAAGTAAGTTGTGCACACATGAAAAATTAGTGGACTCGATGCTTTCACGGCTATGCACTTCTGTTGTAGATGGCGATTAGCTTGAGCGGAGTCACAAACGGACCATTGTTGTCGGTGTTTACGCTGGGCTTATGCTTTCCTTGGGCAAACTCTAGGGTGAGTACACAGTCGCTCGGACAAATACCGTACTGTCGTTAAATACTATTGGTTTTTTCATTACTCTTCAGTCTTCATACATAATGCGTATGTTTGAAAACGTAATCGACGAGTCAAACTCTCTGTGAAGGCTTAAGTTGTGATCCAATACTATTGTGTTGGATTTACCACAATATTAACACGAATATGTTAATATTGTAAAAATGTAATCTAATTAAACATCATGTAAATCATGTGATATGTTCATTTTAGATAAGGGGTTGGTGGATGCCATAAAAAATATTCATGCGTTTCTTCTCGAATAAGTGGTAATTTTTTCCACTGTTTCTTTATTTGAAAACTCACCATTTTGTATAGGGAGCGTTGTGTGGAATGTTAACAAGTTTGGCAGTAATGTCTTGGATAATTTTTGGCGCTCAGGAAGCGATAATGAGCAAAAAACTTCAGTTTGTGCAGAGAGAAGTTTCAGTGGCCGGATGTCCCGCCAATATTACTATTCTCAATAGTACGGATTATACAGGGTAACTCATTACTGCATATATTAAAATATAGAGTCAATTCACGTGAATTAACGTAACCATAGCTAAACCTGAAGAAAAAGGACGAGTTTATCAATAGTGGTTTATGTTTTTTCTCAAAAGGTTGTACCGTATGAACGATGACGTGTACGTGAGTCCGGACGTTCGCAAGATATTTACCCTTTCTTACAATCACTACAGTACTTTGGGCACGTTAATCGGCGTAGCCGTAGGGCTGGCGGTCAGTCTGATATTCCCGACAGAGCAAGACTACGACCCTAAACTATTGACTCCTTGCATACGGAATTTCGTGTTTCCCAAGTACATGGCACAGGACAAGAAACCTGCCAACGGAAAGCCGGCCCCTGAAGAGTATGCACTGGTGCCTCAAGACACCAAACTTTGAAACGTCTGCGAATGTTGTGTAAGAATATTAATCGCAGTGTATAACTATTGTCACTTGTACGACTTTTGGACCGGTAAGTCTGGTCCGCACCGTACAGCAGAGAGTTTAACGCAGCTGAAATATAAACAGATGCTTCAGCAATCATAAATATAATTACAAACGTTAGATTTCGTTAGGTATAAAGAGAATACTTTTTTTTTCAATCGTCTTTTTACCATAACAGGATGCTTTCCGCGATTAGCTCTAAGAATAGATAAAACTCACACCCGACTACTTAGTATTTCTGTAAAGTTATATTATTATGTTTTTTTGTAAATTATGTTATCATTACAAATAGGCGCGTTAGGTTAGGCTTAAGTTAAAGGAAGTATGTGAACAATTTTAATATACTATAACAAATGGTGATTTTTAATGTAAAAACATGTATATATATTAAGTCGTTGTTATTGTTTAGAATTATTATATATTTTTTTAATATAAAAAAAAAAAAAAAATTTTGTTACTTATTTTCGTTTTAATCATAGGCAATATTTGTTTATTTCAAATAATTTCTGTGCCTTTGATGTGGAGTAGAAGAAAGGAAAAGTGCATACGTCATGCAATTTATTCGCCGAACAGAAGATGGCCAAATTGTCCATTATTTTAGTATAATTAATCATAGTGTGTATTTTGCACAAAATTGAAAAAATTAAATAAACATTAAAATAAAATACCATACAATCATCAGGTTTTGACACTAAAGACTTAAATTTTTAATATATAATAAATAAATATTGAAGTACCCACAGATAACAACTATGCCGACAGACAATATTATTTATTACTATTTTTTTGAAATCAGATATTTTCGAGTAGCAACTAGTAGTTTTTGACCCTAGGAGATACGACAAGAAAGAGAGGCAATTCGTAAGCGGTCAAATCAAGCGTCATCTTGGTTAGGTAGATAACAAATTTCTTCTTCTTGGGCTTATTATTAATAATGTTGAACTAGCAATAAGTAGTTAACTATATATTTTTCCAATTATTGTTTATTTGATCGTTACCTTTATTTATGTATAGTTTATCTGAAAACAAAAACATAAAAAAATTGGGTAAAGTATTTTTCACGTTTTTTAGGACGTGGATCCGATTTGCGACCTTTGCGTTGGCGTTTAATCGTAATAAATATACACATACACAACCGCTGTGTACAACATTTAGATGGGAGGTGCCTACAATAGACCAATGTACAATAATGGAGACAGATACGGTGCTTCTTTTTCAGATAACGGCCGAGCATAACGGTGTTTTTGTATTAGTTTCGCTCACAGTCGAAACCAAAACGGTCGAGCGTTTTACATAATATCGTCATAGCTTTTCAGCGTGCACATTTTTGAGTGTGTTGATGAGTAGGCTCAGTACCATACGATTTATATTATGTTATAAGCACTTGAAAACCGTCGAGATTTGGCTGCGCAAGCAAAGTTTTATCGTCATTAGCTATTCGGTATTTGACCTGCGTAATATTATATTAGACGACGGTATAGCTGCTGTTAAATTCTGCTACAAAGCTGCTTGACGACTACCGGCGATGGAGTTGAGTTTAGTGGCCGAATTTTCGGCTTTCGCGTGCATGATGATCCTGTCTGTGCTCATCGGTCTGTATTACGGGTTTGTTGAACGCAAACAGAACACGGTCAACGATTACCTGTTGGGTGGCAAGCACATGTCAGTCTTTCCAATCACAATGTCTCTGATCGCAAGGTAACTATCTCCTGTGGTATCGAAACCCTGCAGTTGAATTTGGTGTGTGTATACGTAGAAACGGTTGAGAATTTTAAATTCTCCGGTCTGGTATTCCAACTCCTATTGTTGAATTTGAAGTGTAGAGTGAAAAAACCAGCAAAGTCACTTTTTAAAAATGGCAATTTTTTGTTTTAAAATTCGTTTTGATACAAAACGAATCTGTTCTTTACTTTTAAGCACGATCATAAACAAAAATATACAATATTTTTAAATGTTTTAAGTATTTCTTTAACATTTTATAACATATTTTAGCATTACTTAAACATGTTTTTCTTAGATTAAAAAAAGTGACTTTGTTGGTTTTTTCCCAGTACCCGTCATTTAAAGTATACCGGGTACGACGACGAAAGAATTTTCTAATTCAATTTTGAACGGAATAACATCACTTGAATCTATTTATTAGCTACAATCCCCATTGATGCTGTCATAGTCTCGAAATTAACATAATATTGTAGTTAACGGCCAGTGGTTTCATTGAGAGATTGTTTCGCCGCTGAGACTGAGGCGCATAGTTGAATTTTGTTAAACTTGTCAATTGTTAGCAGAGGTCTTCTCAATTTTTATCAACTACTCTTCAAGCAATAAACTATAAAATATACATATATTAGAATGAAGTTAAGTCTTTTTCTAGTAAGTTGAGTGACGACTGGATGATAAGTAATTAATATTGGTGCTAATTCAAAGTTATTATTTGAGTCATTATAAATTGTACTTATTTTGACGCTCTTAAGTTCATCTTAGTTTCTCAAATTAAAATTACAGAAGGTACCCACATAGACTGTTTGAAAATTATCAGTTTGCTCAGTTAAAAACTTGCAACTATGTTAAATCGAATACCTTATATTTTATTTCCGTTTTTAGGCATCGTATACTTGCCGATAAAGTAATAACACTTTTTTATATTATATCAATAAGATGACCTGTTTAATAATCAACCACGATCGGTTGAGATATTTAGCTCAGGAATCTAACTGTATTCCTTATGCTGTACGGTTGAACATTGTCACGTGCACACAAATACGAATTTATGTATTTCGCAACGTTTCCAACATTAAAATAAATTTTTAATCAGTAGATTTCTTGTGGTATTATTAACAGTGTGCAAACAATATCGATAAGCCGTTAGTGGCTAATACTCATTCAATATCTGGAGTACCCAAATGTAACGCTGTACAAAAAATATATGTATCCGTCAAGTGTGCAATCCGAAATATTAAGAATAATCAATAGGTAAAAGGTAAGGTGGGTAATAAGCTAGATAGGAACATAAATGTAATTTTTACCATAATAAAATATAAAATATAGTTCAAAATCACGTTATTTTTTTCATATTTCGATGGTGGACAAGTAAAATAAAACATAGCTAATGAAAAATGTTGTGTTGAAATTATTAACTTGTTTAACTAAAAAAACACAAACTAATAGTACGCTTTCAGCTCAATGCGGCTTTTTGTCTTCTCAACTATATTCGCAGCCATTTTAACCAAAATATTTTCTGTGTTACAGTCACATCTCTGGCATTACATTACTCGGCATCCCGTCTGAAGTCTACGTTTACGGCACTCAATATCTGATTGTAGGTTTCATATACGTTTTTATTATCATCATTGTGATCTATATATATTTGCCGGTATTTTATGACCTCCAGCTGACGTCCGTGTACGAAGTAAGAGACTGAAAAAGTTTTTTTTGACTATGTACTCGTGTAACGTTCAAACGCTAACGTTTATGTACATTTCGTAGTACTTGGAATTGCGGTTCAACAGCACCATTCGGGGAATATGTTCGCTGATATATGCCATATCGTTGATCTTGTACATACCAGTAGTAATATATGTACCAGCCCTGGCGTTTAATCAAGGTATGTTAACACTTAAAAATTGTGTACAACGATTTGATGGTTTAACAACAAACCGTCAAAGTGTTATGTAAATAAGTGTTGGACAGTTAACATGAAAAATAGAAATAGCATATTTGGCATAAACACTACTTCCAAATGAAGAGAACTACAAAAATAATAAAACTGTTAAGAAAGTTTAATGTAGAGATAATAATGATTGGAGAAAAGAAGTAGGAGGAATGTGGACGTCATGCGGAGATTTATGGAAAGAAAAAACAAATGGTAACGGAAGAGTCTGTTCTTCTCTTATGTGAATATTAATTGTTTTGTTTCAGTAAGTGGTCTAAACGTGCACGCTATAACTCCGATCATATGCGTTGTGTGTATATTCTATACAACAGTGGTAAGTATTGTGTTAAACGGAACCATATATACAGATTTAGAAACATTTTTTTAGTAGTATAATATAATTTCTAGGGAGGCTTAAAAGCTGTGGTGTGGACAGATGCGTTGCAGAGTGTTTTCACGACGGTTTCTGTGATTGCGGTAATTGTGTTGGGGTTCATCAATATCGGTGGTTTCGGAAACATGATAAAAGCCAACGCCGATGGAGATAGATTAGAACTGTTCAAGTATGTTGTACTTTAATGTTGTACTTGCACTCCAATCATAACAAAACTCGATTTATTTAATTACCTTTCTAACACTCGATAGCCTAACAGAGATAACGCTTCATCTCGCAACGATAACTAGTTGCTCTAATTGCATTGTAAGTAAAAGACCTAATGAAAACTTGTAGGATGGACTTGGACCCGTTTTTGAGAAATACATTTTGGACTGTCAGCGTCGGCGCCATTTTCAGCTCGACGACCGGCTTAGGAATACATCCAGGAGCAGTGCAGAGGTTCGTGGCATTGCCGTCGTACAGCAAGGCCAGAAAGTCGTTGATATACTTCATTTTCGGCATGGGAGTAGTGAAAATGTTCACTGGCTTAATCGGAATGCAAATGTATACCAAGTATAAAGACTGCGATCCCGTAAAGGCCAAGGTGAGTGTTTCGAAGCTGGTCTGACTGCTCTTAATAATATGTGTTGAATCAAGCGAGTTGATTCGTTTTTTAGTTTATTCAAAACGACAGAAATCTGTTGCCGTACTTCGTGATGGACGTCGCGTCCAAAATTCCTGGACTCACTGGTCTCTTTATCTCTGGAATAGTCAGCGCGGCTCTAAGGTTTGTGTAATTCTTTCTATATTGAGTAATCGCTTCTGCGTCCAACGTTCTTGAACATTAATTCTTCCCGATACAGCACAATGTCGGCACAACTCAACACGGTCTCCGGCACGATTTACGAAGACTTTGTTGTAAAAATATTGGGCTTTAAAGTAACCCAGTTGACGGCTAGTGTCATCATGAAATCTACTGTGGTCATTGTCGGTGTTGTTTGCGTGGCTCTAGTGATAGTAGTTGAAAAACTCAGTGGAATCCTCCAAGTAAGTTGTGCTGAAATGGAAGTATAGTGGACTCGATGCTTTCACAGTTATGCATTTCTGTTGTAGATGGCGATTAGCTTGAGTGGAGTCACAAATGGAGCACTGTTGTCGGCATTCACATTGGGCTTATGTTTTCCTTGGGCAAACTCTAGGGTGAGTACACAGTCGCCCGGATAAATACCGATAGATATTGGGTTGGTGGGTGTCATAAAAAATGGCGTTTCTTCTCGAATGAGTTGTAATTTCCACCACTGTTTCTTTATTTAAAAACTCATCATTTTGTATAGGGAGTGATGTGTGGAATGTTAACTAGTTTAGCAGTAATGTCTTGGATCATTTATGGCGCTCAGGACGCGATAATGAGCAAAAAACTTCAGTTTGTGCAGAAAGAAGTTTCAGTGGCCGGATGTCCCGCCAATATTACTATTCTCAACAGTACGGATTATATGGGGTAACTCATTACTGCATATATTAAAACATAGGGCCAATTCACGTGAATTAACGTGACAATAGCTAAATCTGAAGAAAAAGAACGAGTGTATTAATATTGGTTTATGTTTTTTCTCAAAAGGTTGTACCGTATGAACGATGACGTGTACGTGAGTCCGGACGTTCGCAAAATATTTACCATTTCTTACAATCATTACAGTACTTTGGGCACGTTAATCGGCATAGCCGTAGGGCTGGCGGTCAGTCTGATATTCCCGACTGAGCAAGACTACGACCCTAAACTATTGACTCCTTGCATACGAAATTTCGTGTTTCCCAAGTACATGGCACAGGACAAGAAACCTGCCATCGGAAAGCCGACCACTGAAGAGTATGCACTGGTGCCTCAAGACAACAAACTTTGAAACGTCTCCGAATGTTGTGTAAGAATATTAATCCCAGTGTAAAACTATTGTTACTTGTACGATTTTTGGACCGGTAAGTCTGGTCCGCAATGTACAGCAGAGAGTTAAAACGCAGCTGAAAAATAAACAGACGCTTCAAAAATCAAAAATATTTTTATAAACGCTATATTTCGTTAGATATAAACCGAACATTTGTTTTTTCTAGAACCTGCCTTTTACCAAAGCAGGATATTTTCCGTGATCAGCTATAAGAATAGATATAACTCACGTCCGTCTACTTAGTATTTCTTTAAATTTATATTATTAGGTTTGACAAAACGTTGTTGAAATGTTCTTATATGTACGTGTCAAACTTACTTTGATGAGGCATAGGCACAACTAGACCTACATTTCAGGGAGTGATAAAATTATGTAAATCTAACTAAAAATAATTCTTATGTTTAAACCATTAAAATCAAATATTTGAAAACAAAGATATTTTAAAATAAAAAACATTGAACAGAGTATTGTACATTATTAAAATTTGGTGCGTACAAATCGAGGATTAGGGTTTGAATTTATAGGGGTGCTGATTTTGAGTCTGGGGATGCTAAAACAATTTTATTACTATAAATTAGGTTTATCGTGTTGATCAAACGTTCAAATTGAAATAATTAGGATACGTCTGGGGTACCTAACAGTTCCTTATAAAATATATTTGTTTTATCCTAATATAAAATAGTTGTTTTAAATACCCACATGTTTATACACAATTTTATTAAGCGCTTACAGTTATATTCTTATTTTTAAGGTGTAAAAACTCTTTTTTTTCTATAGAGTCATGTAACGTGTTTTACTAAAAAAAAACCATACTTGATAGATTTTAGTTTTCATCGTCGATTTACATAGACTTATGTTTCAAGGAACAAAATAACTAATATTTGTTGGCTGTCAATAACGATATCAGAGAATGGTGTTTTGTTGCTAAAAATCAAATAAGAAATACATATTTTACACTGTAAGTTCTTCTAACGTTGTTGTCGGTTTACACACATTTTTGTGTTTGTCTTAAGTTGTACGCGATAAAGATTTGTATTATATGTTTTTTTTTTCAAATATAAAGTATAAATAAAAATGGCATCATATTTCATTTCAAAACAATTGTGTATTTTTCTAAATGTCACCATTAACCTAACCCAATCAAAACTATCTGACGCTTATAAACATGTATATTATAAATAGTGTAATTTTTGAAATTACAGTTAACTCGATTTAACAGTGCCCATATTATAACATTTTTATTTAACTTTGAAAACAAAGATAAAAGACTTACACTATAAGATGTTTAGAATAAATTTTAAATATTTTTTTCTGGAATGAAAGAACTAGTGTTACATAATTTCCGACATACAACTTACACACTTTATTTTTCCAAATATAAAAATAGGGACTTTTAAACATTATTATGTAGCTTTAAATATATTGGTACCTATTATAAAATCCACGAGCTTTTCCACGGCCTTGTGGTATAAAAAAAATAGTAATACAACAGTTGTTGGTGGGTTATAACATTTTTAGAATGAAATTGTTTCACATAATTATCAAAATAAATAATGTAGAACTATAAAGGATTATTTTTAACGACTCAGACACTCAATACTGATAAAAACTTCAATTTTAAAAATTTTTGATAAAGTGTCATAATCAAAGACCTTATCCTAGGGGGATCCGGGCGGGTAGTACGAGCACGGCTATATACATACACATATAATTAATATAATACCCAACTGGGAACTCAAATGCGCATCAGAAGTACACCTGGTGACGTCAAAAGATCTAGCCGCGAGGCTCGTTGAGACGTCGTCTAACTGGAGCTGCATGCATCTTCCGTCCATAAGGTCTACCGCCATAAAGCAATAGATTGAGTGGGTCATCTGAAGCGTTCTTTTTCAAAGTATTGCTCGCTGAAAAAAAAATTGAAAAGACGTGAAACAAATATGATTTTCAACGGGATAAAATACAGATACCCATGTTTAATGTCAATGTTTAAAAAAACGATTGATTTTTAACATTGTGTTTTAATATAAAATTAAGTAGTTTTATATTTTTATAAAAAATAATATTGTAATATCAATGTGGAAAATTTCCTAAGATTACCCAAAGGTTAACAAAATGTAAAGAACATAAATAAGTTTATAAAATTGTCAAAATCATTTTTAGTACAGATTCAATTAACGTACTTTTTGCGATATTTAGTATAATGTTGCACTCGAGTTCTTCCTGAAACGTGTCATCATACGAAAAGACCACATTGTTATTTTTGGTTACATCATAATAATGTTTGTTTTCATGTAATGTATTTATGTACTTTTCGACGCTGTATACATCGTTGACCAGTTGATTTATTTTATCAAGAACCTCATCTCCTTCAGTCAGTTCTACAGGTTCGTCCAATTCGATGAATACTAGTTTATTTTTAATCATAGGTTTTGAGCACCGCCTAAATATCTGACCGATCCATTTTCGTTTGGAAATCTGTAAACTTTTTTTCTCGGGGTAATTAATAAAATCTTCCAATTCCTGGTAGGTGATTTCAAAATGCCCTTTTGTTATTTCCGGATAAATATCTAATTCGATAAAACGTTTGAACAACTCGTGAACCTTGTCGCCTATACTACCGATTTTGCTTTCGAAATGTGTAATTCTAACATCAACATCTGCGTATTTGTTCGCTCCTGTGTAATATATGTATTTGATTAGCGATACGTACGAAGCGATCATAGTCAACACGGGATGAGCCGTAGCTGCCAAAACTTGTCGTTGAAACGATTCAAAGCATTTCGGGTCGTAGACAAATTGTGCATTCTCCAATAATATTTTGATGGTTGATTTTTCATTGTCGACCAGCGGTGTGATTATTTCAACATTTCGAAGTAATTCCAAATGATCCACGCCACTGGTTGGTGTATCGGATTGAGTGCTTTTGTTTTGGTCACTGGCCAAGAGGTCGTAGAACAAAGCGTTTCTAGGCTGAAAATGTAAATAGGTTTGTTGTTCCTTTTTGGTTTTCTGTTTTTCCTCTATAATATATTTCATCGCCAACGCACTACTTTTTAATTCGTTCATAGATGTTGTCAATGTCTGCTGATCGTTATACCCATGATTCATAGTCCACCTTTTTGGTAACAAGTCGTTGAGATATTTGTAATCCGTACTCAAAGGTTGCTCGTCACGTTGAAAAAAGTTTACACAACGCTTCGCCATAATTTTAGGACAATTTTTTATAGTGCTACTAAGTATGAAGCTAATTAGTTTTTGAATAATGTTAAAGAAAATTTGTTTACACATAATTATTCTATTATGTAACGTATCTGAACTAACTGGTGCCATCGCGAGTTTTTCGAAAGGCTTCGCCATTAACGACCCCGAAATATTGTTCAAATATAAATTGATCGCCATCAAATCGTTTGGCCGACTGGTCGGGTTGTTAGCCTGTAAATCGTTAAGCATAGCCAAAACCATATCTCCTCGAGTCCTTAAGTCGTTTCCAAATTCTTCGCAAACTTCATATTTAAAAGCTCGTTGTTCACCACCGACGAAATCATTGTGTAGCATATTTCTGGCCGTTATTAAATAATAATACATGTATCTTGAATAATAACAAGTTTTTATATCTTCCGGTCTGACCCGTGTTGTTAAAACCGTCAACAATAATAAACTCGAGAATATCATGATGATATTGTTCTGAATTCCGAACATTGCAAGAGAAATCCTAAGTATAACAAAACACGTAGTTAATGTACGTGGGTATCTTTGTAGCTTGTACGGCATTTGTATCAAACGTCACATGTTGTAACCCAGAAGTTGAAGAGAAAAAACAAATCGTCAAACACAAGACGGTAGGTATTCTTATATTTATTTTCCGAGGGAACAAAGTTGAAATAATATTTATTTTGTAATAGCAAATGTTTCCAATGCCAATACAACACAATAGAGACGCGGAGGTATAGCCTACATTCTTTTTAAATAACGCTCATAATGTTTTTGTACAAAACTTATTAATCTCTCTTAGATTTATATATATTGTTTTTTTTTCAAAAATAATTACATCGAAAAAGTTTTAGACAAACTTATGTTGAGTGCGCGACCGAAATCCAAATCTAATGAAATTTAAATCATTTACTGAGAGTGAATGTCTAAAAAAAATTATTTTGGAAAATTAGGACCAGAAAATTTGTTGAGCTGATAACAGCTCAAGACAGTAGAAACAAACACAACATGTATATTTCTTTTGTGCACTTATACAGTAATAACACATAAATTTATTATTGTTCAATAGAAGCTTTCTTTTTAGTTGCATATGGTTTAACTAAAGTGTGTTACATACGTTTTACTACTCGCGTAAAATTATAAACTGTTTTTCTGTAAAAAATTAAATACCAAATATATGTATTATTTAAACCTGTAGTCTGTTTCTTCAAAGAACGTTGTTATGTGAACAGTCAAGTACAAAAACGAATAAAGAAATATTAGTCAGACATTTAATTAAATAAACAAATTATTTTTTTTTTTATAAGTTTTCTAAACTAATTTTATAATTACTTTATTCTGTGCTTAAAATAAAATTAAAAGGTAATAATATCTCGTTATTAAAATCGGAAAAATTGGTCATTCGTTTAATGGATTCAATTTTCTTGTCCTGTTTATCATAATAGATATTTTTGTACTTGGTCATTTTATCTGTTGGATTACAATTGCTATGCTAATTTTTCCACTTCCATTTCACCCCGGATATTTCGCATGTAGCCATTTTTAGGGATTACCTTCGTATCCGTTCTTAATCCTATCTGGTCTAGCGAACAAACCTAAGCCAAAATTAAATAACTTGGAATTAATTATTTTTTCACGATTCCATCAGCTGGCTTTCGAGGAGCGAGGGCTTTTTAATTTTTGCCCCTTTCTCTCTTCCGGGGGGTGGGGGTACCATCGTACAGGAGTCGGGGGCCAGCCTGTTGGACGAAGGCGAATGGAGTCGATGAAAGAGAGAGCGTTTTGCCTGTTTATTTTTTTGCCGTCCAACCGACCAGTGTTGGACTCCCAACCAGACGCGATGGTCCGATAAAGTACGGCGCACAAGAGCTGCTGTTCTTCGCCGGTCGTGCCGACACATGTTGCGCGTGGCCGCGCTGTGTGTGTGTTTGGCGGTGACCGCCTCCGTCGTTGCCCCTCGGGTCGAAGGTAAGTGCTATGAATGTATTTAGGTATTTCAATTCACACAAATATTTGTGCGTCGTACTTAGGGTTTTACGAGTAATTTTTTTTTTTTATTGCACCTACTACCGTGTAACTCACGGTTGTTCGTGATCCACCTACGCGAAAACAAAGATTTTCGTGATCTCCGGTCATTATATTGTTCGGCTAACCTAACCGTTTAATATTGTATCTATTATTATAGGTATATTCGGTCGTGTTACCGCCGCTATGGTTCAACGGTAAAAATTCAAAACGACCGCCGTCATAAATATATTATTTTTAACACGGGTGTACATTTTTTCTTCACTTTCACCCATCAGATTCGCCAGTAGATAATAATTGAAGTTACCATTTTCCGCCATATTTGTGGGAATTATAACTTTATCACACGAAACTATGTTTATAATAATTGGTGACTAATTAGTTTATAGGTCTATGATTATAGTGGTGTAGCCTTAAGAAAACGGCCCTCGCGTTTTTTTGTATGTGACACCTAAGTATCTTCCCCGTGTTAATTTTTATCAGTGTCCGGAGCCTGCTTTCACCACTTTGGCCGACCGTTCTTATTTTTTTTTATTTCGTCCATTATAATAATATAATAATATTATTATTATTGTCGTCGTTACACTGTATTAGTGTGATCATCGTCAGCACATTGGCCGCCGCCGTTTACGGCGAGATGGTCGCTTGGTGTTACCGAAGCGCGCGCGATAACCGCACACCGTATCCCGTTTATTGTTACTCACTCGTTGTCATTATCAAAACGTATTATAGGACAGGTATTGTACTGTTGGGCTTACACAGAGATCCGGCAGCCGAAAGCCGGCGCTTTGTAACATAATAAAAACGCAATAAGATACACGAATAGACCCGGATTTCTCTTTTGATTTTCTATATAAAATAATGATTTGTCGACGACGGTTAATAACCAAAATGGTTACGTACAATTTACCTAAAAGACGGTTTCACCGCTAGCACTAATCGACCAAATCTGTCTCCCCAAAGACAAATAGGTTCTATTTGGATAACAACAGCTATTAACAACTAGTGTCTCGTTGGTTAGCTACAGAATTCGGTTAGCTCGTTCATATACCAAACTCAAAAGGCGCGAGATTGCATGAAAACCGTGGCTTGGGTTTGGCATCCGTAGTACACCATTGGAATTGCTAAGAGATTTTTTCTTGACCACAGATTAGATAAAATTATTATTATTATTATTCATTAGTAAGACACCGCTTTGTACTTCTTGCTTTTTTCAGTATCTAAGAATTACATTTATGAAAAATAAATAAAGAATACATAATTTAAGGTGGTCGCAGTTTTGTATTTGAAGCGTACTTTTGTTTATAAAACATTATATACCTAGTAAGTTTTATTTTACGGATATGTTAATATCGGTTAATATTAATGGCTAGGTTAGTAATAACGGTGACTGCTAGGAAGTAGAAAACAGTACTAGGAGTTCAGAAGAAAAACGAACGTTAGAGCGCTTAACGATGGCGGTCTATGGCGTTGGTCTCAAGCAACTAAGACCGGCGCGGCGGCCGTCGATCTCGTTTATATGATAGATATCTCTCATGAACTTCTGGTACAAAATAAACATTTTTCACCGTACTAAACACAATCCCGGTGGCCAAATCACGATTAACAAACACTAAAAACACCTAACCTAACAATAGTTCATTAAGTACCCTGAAAAAATGGAAAATTGGCGTCACAGATAAATAAAACGCGCTCTGACGATGGTAATAGAAACTATTGGTTTTTGGGATAAATATTAAAATTAATACCCGCTCGCTATATGCATATAAACAAGCTTACAACTTCTAAATTAATCATTTTATTAAAAATCTGATTTATTCTTAGTTTACAACAAACAATTTCTCATAAGATAGGCATTTGTTGCCTATAGAAAAATAATTTGTTATTGTATAAAACATTTATCCACATTTTGTATTTCTCCAGTTACCTTATGAGGTATATTATTATCTCTTGTGAAGACTAAGTGATACTCTTTATAGTAATAATAATTTTACATTCTACTTAAATTTAAAATTTTAAATAGTATAAAGAGAAGAGAATTTAAAATCAAACTGAATCATTAAGAATAGTAGTTAAACTAAACTTAAATTACTTTAGTATAAAGAAACAAAATAATAGGCTGTCACTAAATTTGAATTTTTTTTTTTAATAAATAACAAGTAAATCTCAAAAGCACCAATGTTTTTAATAAAACCATATGAAAATTGCAGGGAAAATGGAACATATGACTTACATAAAATTATAATTAATAATAATGTATAGGTACTAATTTTTTATTCTATTTTAAAATTTGTTAATAATTATTTTTAAGAGGTACTTTATTTATTAATGACGCAAGATATAATATTATGCAGTTCTAAAACTTGAAGGATGAAGGAGAATTATGGAGTAGGGTTTATGGAGGAGGACCATGGAGGGATTATGGAGGAGAAGGATGGAGGATTTATGGAGGAGAAGGATGGAGGGTTTATGGAGGAGTATTTATGAAATATGAATTATTGATTAACTTTAACATCAACATCAACTTCAACGTTAACGTCAACGTCAACGTTTGTGTGTTTGAGGGTATGTGAGTGTGTGAGTTTGTGTGTGTGTGAGTGCGTAACCTCTATACCCCTCCATGATCCTCCTTCCTAATCCATCCATTCCAAACATAACCAAATCTAAACCTAAGTCAAGCCTAAACCAAAGCCAAACCAAACCTATGTTAAACCAAACAAAACATAGCCAAACCTTTTGACGTTGACGGAAATGTTGATGTTGAAGTTGATGTTGAAGTTGACGTTGAAGATGATCAATAATTCATATTTCATAAATAATCCTCCATATTCCTCCATATTCCTCCACCATAAACTCTCCTTTATATTCCTCCATAAACCCTTCACGAACCTCCTCCATAATTCTCCTTTATCCTCCTCCTCCGTAATAGTCCCACCATAATTTTCCATATTCCTCCACAACCCTCCTCCATATTCCTCCATAGTACTACTTCTGTTTAACAAAAAAATCTCAACATTTTCAATTTTTAAAAAACAGAATTTTGAATTTATCATACCAAATATCAATAATAAATTGAGTATGACCTTAATTTAAAAATTATATATATTCAATTATATAGTCTGAATTATATTATATCGGGGCGGTGTGGCGCAGTAGACACCTCAGCTGCCACGTGGCACTTTAGGTTAAGCTGTATCCGTTGCTGCTTGATCCCGGATGGGTGACCACCTGGGATTTTTTAGCGGCGACTCATACCATTAACCCCCGATATGCATGGCAGAAATGCCATGTGCCCTCGACCAAGCATGCATAAGTTAGCTATAGCCATTGTGGTTATTTTTTAATTATTTAATACATATATTTTAAAGTATCTATTTAAAACAATATGAATCGTACTATGATAGTATTGGATACCTGACAAATAATTTAAATACATTTTTTTAAATACTTTGAAGCTTCGATTAACATAATATTTAATTATTATTTATTTCCATATGTGTGTATTAGTAGGCTGTCATTGATGTACCATTTTTACATTATTACATATTTTAATTTCGTATCCATTTACATTTTAACCATTAAATTAAAATGTATTATTCCATGAGATTGACAGCCTTTCTCTTTATCTCTTTCTATCAATATTGATCCTGGGACGGTGTTTGGTGAGGTGTATGGGAGGCGTAGTCCATTTCTATGGTTGTTACCTACCAACGTTTTTGTTTCGACGAACAGAGATTCTCCAACTGAGTCACACGTCGGCGGTTGATTAAAATCAGCTGGCGGCTATGCTTTCATCTGGTAGCTTTTTAAACGAATTTGCGACGCACTGGCGGAAATCTGCCGCTAGGAGCGTGCGTATCAGTGGCCTCTTTTCGTTCGTTCATCCCGACTATACACACAACCCCGGTATCCAAAATACGGTTAACACGAAAAAATCTGAAAACTTCACCTAATCCAACAGTTTAAATTAGGATGTACCTTGAAAAAATGCAATACACAACCAGAAGTTCAGGAGAGGAAAAACGATCGCGAGAGCGCGATGGCGAACGCATGCAATAATATTTAACGGTTGTTGTCACCGTGTTAAAACTGATAAACGCCTGGTATAAAAATAAATATTTCCTCGTCATTTTCTTTTCGAATCCGATGGCCATTAATAAACGTCTTAAAAAGCACGAATCAGAGGACTCAATACCGTTAAGCTCCAAAACAAGTGTATTGAAAAAAATCGAATATAGTATCATAACAATGGAGGTTCGTAGCGCTATCTGAGGTCCAGATAAAATGGCTATTAACACTATATCAGTAAACACCACGGCGGTAGATAGACATGATAATCGTTCAAACTTTTATTGATTGTTTTTCAACTGAGTACTTTAAATTACATTGTTTTAAAAACAAAAGAGAACATTCAAGAATTATCAAAATCAAATTCCGTTTTATGCAATAAAAAACGTTATTATGAATTGGTTTATTCTAAATAATTTTACACGAGTCATGGTAAACTACAATATTCTAATAAGTACCATAAATTCATCAATCAACGCTGAGACAAGGTCGGCGGCCTACAGTCATTTAGATACCATGCGGCGGTCCGCAGCTGTATTATGCTTCTGACCATCCTTTTATTCCTGAGCTCCTGGTACTAAATTCCATGTTATCACGGTTCTTATCTCAGAATAACCAGAAGGGACACCTAGGCCGGAACTTATGTGTGTCCGACGTTTTGTTTTTGCAAGTTATTACGCATTTTTCTGAAATTATTTATAGTCTATCAAGTATAGCCTGGCTCCCAACCGCAAAATCAATATGGCAGACGGTCTTTATCGGCAGTTCCCTTTCTGATTATTCTGTGATTTGATCTTGGAACAACTATAAATATATATGATAAAGTATGATAACGTGATTATAAATTTGAACCCAACCTATCACATAATTATATT